ACAGATGCTAGAACCTCTTTTACTTACTGACTTGCAATTTTTGGGCCAGAGATTTAAGTAATTTGCCCAAAAATGAAAAGGAACTAGACAGCAGATCTGAAGACACGATCTGGATAGCCTTTGGATCCAACCATACAGTTTCTTCCTACTTTACATGCACCCTATCTATGAGGTTGCAAATGCACGCTTTAGCAAATCTGTGCTTTTCAGCATCTTCTAGCAGGAGGCTGTCCAGTAAGGGTAACAGCATGCTAATATTACTGAGGGCTACTAATAAGTAATGCTAACTTAGAAGACAAGTAAGCAAGCAATTAATCTACATTTGAACATAAAAGAATATCATTCTACTGAGCATTTTAAAATACTGTTTGAAAGCACCAAGTCAGCCAGGCCTAGTAGTAAGCAGCAATTCCATTGTGAGTCACGAAAGCATTAAGTCCCCTGCTTCCTTCTTAGATGCCAGAGTTCTGTGGTAATAGAAGTATTGAAATCTGAATGTCAAATCTCATTCAGAAACAGCGAGGTTTGACTGTTTGCCAAAAACAGGGAAGGTACTTGGCTCATTTGGTAAAAATTTGTCTTCACAAAAAAAAAAAAAAAAAAAGAAAAAAAAAGAAAGATTTTTCAAAGGTAACCCATGTCACTTTAACTTGCATATGAAACATTTAAGAAACTGGACATATAGTAATGGGCTAGTTAATTTGTTGCTGCAGACTTGATGTCTAGACAAGATAAGACATTTCAAGAATCCCTGCTCCTCATGCTCATAAGGAACAACAAAGAGATAGCCTTTTGTGTAACACTGCCAGCAAATTGCTCCAATTGTGAATTTAACACCAGGGACATATTTGTCATCACTTCCGAAAAAACACACTTCAGCACATTGCATATTAAAAGCATAAGCTGATACTTAACTATATAAAAACAGAAACTAAACAAATTAAAAAATACATTAATGTATATTGCATATCAGATGCAAAAGTATAAGTGTGTGTAATGGTTACATCAGCAACTTGTGAACACTCATTGATCTTGACTTGCCAATGTCAAATTCTCTGCTATGCTATTTTTGAGTAACCAGACCAGTCCCAACCATGCTGACAACATACACCAAATTTCAAAATTATCACTGTGGAGGAAAGAATGACATGTTCAAAAGCATAAGGAAGTGCTTACCTCTCAAGCAAACAGAGCTAATTAGCTCACTACTTTTGTTTTCAAAAGCCCTCCAAAGTTTCTGATTGCTTACAAATAGAATATCAAAAACCACATCATTTATCAAGACTCTGGACATATCAAAACATGAGACACACCAACACTGCAGAATTCTCATGTTGTACAAAAAAGCACAAAGATGGAACAGAATACAGACCAGGATGGAAGAGATCAGTTTTCCCAGTGCTTGCTGTGCAGAAGTGCCAGGAAAGGTCCTGTTGCCAGCTGCCAAGTGGCAGAGGCAGCAGGTCCCAGGACAGCTAGCTGGGGGACCTCAACCCTCTCCTGAGGGCAGTTGAGCCCACTCCAAGGGGAGCAGGTCCTGATAAGCAAGTGAGACCACCCAAAAACAGGGAACCAGAGCAAGGAGATGGGACTCTGCAGCTCAAGGATGGGGAACTGCCAAGATGAGCTGGGAGCAGAAGCCTTTGGTAGGGAAAAGAAGCACTTTGTGCAGAACAGTATACAGGACTGCAATGGCAGCTGAGCTGAGAGAGAGAACACTGAAACAATGGAAAAGCCTGTCTGAAGAAACAGCAGTCTCCCTCACTGGAAATATTCAGGACTTTACTGAGCTCTCAATGGCCCATTCCAAGGCCCTTCCAAGAGGATATCGGTCCAGGTGAGGTCCCCTGTGATTCGGTCACTAAACTGCTCATTTCAAAGAAGAGATAAGAGACTTCCAGGATCTGTGGTCCCAGTTCAGCAATGTTCTCAAGGTGCCCATGCATCTTCAACCACACCTTTTCTTCTCAATTGATTAAACAGTACCACAAGTACAGCATAAACTGTATTGAGAAGTTCATCCAAATAACTTTTAGTAAGCAGTTCACCACAGGACTGAAAATTCAGTTTCCATTCCACTCTTTGCTCCCTCTCACCTTCCTTGTTAGTACTGGAGAGCTCAAGTCATTCAGAACTCACTTAAGTTTACTTAGAGATTCTGATGATTCAAAGCCAGTGCAGCATTGTACCAAATAAGGGTGGAAGACTCGCAGCACATCGAACCATGAAAACATCGTAACAGGTTTCCTGTATTCTTTTTTTTTTTTAATTGCTGGACAAGCAATTAGTTCTGAACATCTATCAGAAAAACACATCATTTTGCAGTGTTAAGTTTAAATAATTACATATTTTTTCTACCTCCAACCTAATTCACAGTACTCCATTTTATAACAAACAAGAATTTTGTTCAGTTTAATAAAATGCACCAAAGATGCTTCCAGCATCATAAAATCTGATTTTAATTCTGTGGAAGCTGACACCTTCAATATTCAAATTGACAACGGGAGAAACCGGTTCTGTGAAATCAAAATATTTAAGTTATTCCTCAGGCTTTTCTGAATGAAGCTACTAAAAGCATTGTTTTATAGAACGTAATCTAGATTCCTCTAGAGATAAGTATCAACACTATCAAACATAATAACGTTACATCACATTGAAAACAAGATTTGTTTTTATGCCCAAATTTTCATCAGCCTTGACTATAAGCCTATCTATAGAACCTAGGGGCACACACATCTTCATGGGACATAAACCAATCGTGGTTTCAGTACCAGCAGCTAAACTTTCCCAATTGTTGTTTTCTGAAAAATCTGCTCCTGCTCTACTTTTTTCCCCACATTTTTCATTTTCCCATAGTCATAAGTTTATGTACAAGGTGTGAACACATGAACTGGTCATTGACACAAAGACAAATTGCATAATGATCCTAGTAGTTATAGCATGCTCCATCCTAGCCAGACTCACAAAACATGAAGCCATGTTCATACAAAATAATATTAAAAAAAGAGAAGAAAAAGTAATGAAAGAAAAAATACACAGAGTAGAAATTTGCTTTTCATTTATCAAGAAAAAGGAACAATTTTACAGGATAGGAAGTGGACTCTCATGCAAAAGAGCAAAAGCTACTACAACTCAGACAGAAGAAACCTAGAAAAAGCTTTGTAAGATTACCCCCAGACTACAGGACTTCTTGAAGATTATTATGAAATAATCATGAATGAGGTAAGTGATTTGTATTTCCTAGGTATCACAGGAACGCATGAAAAGATTGTAAATGCAAGTTTGAAGAAAGTCATCTCTCCTGTCTGAATTAAAAATTTTAAATGCTTCTTCCAGATTTGGGCAGAGTTGTACTGAAAAGTTAGAAAATCTCCAAACTCTACATTAACAGCAACGTAACTATGGAAAAAAATACTTCAGATGTTTACGACAAATGAAACTGAGCAGATTACCAGAGATATTTTCCCCACTGTAAAGTGATATGATAGCAAAGACTAGTAAATAAATTTCTACTGAGCTTGCTCACAGACTGGACATTACAAGAGAAGCAACACAAATCTTGTTTTGTATTCAATCTATCCCCAAGCACTCTACGTAAAAGAGAAAGAATTTCTGAAAAGAATTCCCTTCTCTCATCTTGGTATCAACACTGCAGTCTAAGAAAAATGTAAAGGCTCTTAATCCTTGAAAACAATTACGCAGGAACTGGTATTCAAAGCTGATTAAAACAACAACAGCCCGCTTCCAGTGTTCAGTCCCCAAACTGTACATATTCTAAATTAAGAAAATTTACAGAAATCATTTTCGATAATTTCACAGAAGCACAGAATGGCCAGGGTTAAAGGGATCTCAAGGATCATGAATCTCCAACCCCCCTGCCACATGCAGGGCCACCAACCTCCACACTTAACACTAGACCAGGATGCCCAGGGCCCCATCCAATCTGGCCTTGAACACCTCCAGGAATGGATGAGGCCTCCAAAACCTCTCTGGGCAGCCTGTTCCAGCACCTCACCACTCTCATGGTAAAGAACTTACTTGTTCTCATGTAAAGATATATTTTTAACTGCATTTAGAATTACCTGTTTATATTGGATTTTGGAACAGTTATTCCAAGCAGCAATCATTTTGTTGTAAAAGTACTTGATTTGGAAGGGACCATTAAAGGTCATCTAGTCCAACTCCCCTGCAGTGAACAGGGACACCTACAGCTAGATCAGGGTGCTCAGGGTCTGGTCCAGCCTGATCTTGAATGTCTCCAGGGACAGGGTACCCACCAGACCCCTGGGCAATCTGTTCCAGCTCGTCCATATCATAAGAAACTTTTTTCCTAAAACCAATCTCAATTTCCCCTATTTTTTGATGAAAACATTTCCCTTTGTCACCACAGACCCTAGCTAAACAGTCTGCCCCTTTAGACACTGAAAGGTCTCCATCAGGTCTCCCCAGAGCCTTCTCTTCTCCAAGCTGACCAGCCCCAGCTCTCTCAGCCTGTCCTCATAGGAGAGGTGCTCCACTACTTGGATCATTTTGTGGCCCTCCTCTGGACATGCTCAAACGGGCCCATACATCTCTTGCACTGAGGACTCCATATCTGGACACAGTACTCCAGGTGAGGTCTCACCAGTGCAGAGGAACAGAATCACCTCCCTCACCCTGCTGACAATGCTTCTTTTGATGCAGCCCAGGATATGGCTGGCTTTCTGGGCTGTGAGGGCACACTCATGGCTTGCATTCAGCTTGCCATGAATAATAACAGTTGTTACATTTAAGATGAAGAAGACTACAGCTAATTCCCATGTGCAGATAAATGCCATACTTCTTCAGTAGTATATCTGAATGCATCTCTGTAGACAGAGATGCCATCGCTGTATTGCCTCAACAAATTAGATTACATTAATATTATGCTCCAAGGAGGAGAAGAGAAAATAAAGATATTTATAGCAGATCAAGCCATTACACAAGCATTGTATCAGTGCCAAAAAGCCAACAGGACTCACCTGCTCTATCTCCTTGGTTTTAGTTGCAATTGCTTTTGAGCGGCAAAGATGCTGGTTATCTTCATATAATTCTGTACTGTCAGTTACATTTGTTTCTGTTTCCTCTGTTTGTTCGACATATAATGGAGCTGAAGAACCAGCCTTAAAAGAAAAGGAATTTTCAAGTTTTATAATAAAAATAAAAATGTCAAAATGTGACAGCAAAAATAAAACCCAAATATATTCGATTAAATATGACTTTGCTTATCAAGACCATTAGTGAAGCATTATTGCTACAATCTAACAGTTACAGAAATACCGATTTTATATATGTAGAAAATATGACATAAAAAAAAAAAAGTGACTCAGCCTTAATTGTAAGGACAACAATGACAGATAACCCTTATCAGCCCTTCCTCTGAGAAGAAACTTCTACAGTTGTTATTTTTAACGTCAACCAGCGAGAAATCCACAATGAAAGTGGGATTAGATTTCTGGGGAAAGATAAAGATAAAAAAATCAAAGGTAAACAGTCAATGACAAAATCAGAAAGAACTCTTGCAGCATTCAGTGCTATAGGTTAAATATTAAAGGAAAAGAGACACCTACTGTACAGCGAGAGAAAACATGCACTTAGAGGATTCCTGAAAATATCAGAAATCTTACAGAAGTACCAAAATTGTACAGGCTTCCTTCTAATATGGGAATTAAGACAGTATTCCCGCCCCAAAGAATATAGACTCCTACTTCAAGGACATCAAGCAGTCTAAACAGAAGATGGAGAAAGAAAAAAATTACTACAGTATATTTAATTGCATTATTACACAACAGATTTGTACAATATATAATAGTTTGGGAGTTGCTTTTTTGTTTTTTTTTGTAATAAGACTTGAGAATTTGGAGTAGATGCATAAAAATGTTTTTAACTGCTCAAAAATAAAGAACTGGAGAAACTTAAGGCTTAATTAATGTGTAAGAGAAAAGCATTAGGAATAAAAAAAAAAGTTGAAGCAGTCCTATAAATATCTGCTTAAAACTCAGAATCGATATAAACCATTAACACCACACGTGGAATCTCTTTATTGCAGTAGATCAAGAAATGCCTGAGAAAGAGTAGAGGATGTTAAGAACTTCAGCATAACACAAAGTCCAACCATTATGTAAGATAAACAAACTGCAAAAAAAATATCAAGCTGCAGCAACTCAGACACGACAGCCTATCAGTCAAGGCCAGAACTATCCTTTCTTCTAGGATTCAGAATGAAATATCTCACCGCCTTCATTAGCAAGCCCACAGAACACTTTTTCAGTCAGTAAATCATCTCAGACTCTGTCACAACAGCTGCTGTTTCATTATGAACCTTTCTCCCACTGCAATGTCCTCTAAGGCAGAATCAATTTCACCACATGGTCCATTCTGTTCTTTCCTCCACTACATTGCCTTCCCCTCATCAAGAAAAGGAGTGACGTTTCTCTTCAGTGTTGCTCTCCTGAATCTCTCTACAAATAGAACTGTCCATGCATGTATCTCCATATGGCATCCATGCTAGGATCCTTTTTTCTTCACTCCACCATATATGCTTTTTTATTATTATTATTTTAATTTTGATTTTTTTCTGTTTTTAGTTTCTTTTTCCTGGAAGGAAATGAACAGCTCTTTTATCCAATCCTCCCATCCAGTACCAAGAAGTTGTTGACGCAGTCAGCCATTAGACCAATGGACATGATTTGAGAGCTCAGATCAATGTGGATCCAGCCTAAATCTAGCTCTTAGTTTCCCCAAGGGTGAAGTACAAAAAGGAAATTCAGTGCTTCCCAAGACATTTATTTTCCATCTTACCATTTACAAAAAGCCTGCCCATTAACTATAAAGTTGATGAGAAGGAATGCTGAAATGATTGCAGGATTAAACCAGGCTACTTTATGAAAGACATTACACGACTTTTATTTGTGTCAAATCAAAGGAGGTAGACGCTAGTTAAAACACATCATGCTTAATAGAGCCTTGTTGCCTTCTGTTAGTCAGAAATTACTGTCTATCAATCTCATTAGCCTTAGTTAGTTGACTATGAAAATCCTGCCCGTCACATAGTATGTGACTAAAAGACAAAAGACATAAAAACGTATGTCAATTTGTTCAGGGCAGAAAGACAGGAAAGCCTCAGAAGTGATTAAATTGTCTCAGGTGACAAGGGCTCTCTCAGAAGCCTCATTCCTTTCCCAATAGGCGCCGGGCTGAGTGCTCAGGTGGTCTCAGAATTGACATCAGCAATCCCTACTAACTTTCTACAGTCAATCAAGTAGATCCCGTAGCTGCAATGACACAGGATCCACATCTGACTTACTCAAGAGCAAGAGGTTTGTAAGCTCCTTGCCAATCTTGCCACATGATCGCTTGCCAAATTAACTGCAGTAACAAAATAAACAACTTAGCTTTCTCAAGAGGTTATTAACAAGCACTTGCCTGCTGTGCCAGTAGAGCAGTAAAAAATGACCACTATGATCACACTTCAATATAGCGAGAGGCAAAAGACAAGGAGGAGAAGAGCAGATAGCTATAGATTGACAATTAATTAATGTTGAGTATTAATGAAACAAAAGATCTGGGAAAACAATTAAACCAGTCAGACAATCAACAACAATAGCAAGGATAAAAGCCTGATATTTAAGATGAAGAAGGACTGCTCCTAAAAGGGAATAAAAGACGTGGCAGACTGCCATGGCATGGATCTAAATTCAGTTAAACAGAGTTTCTCTTCTGATCTGAGGTTTTACATAAACACTTACATTTTAATTCAGTAGAGTCTCTAGCTAATTTTAGGGACCTCAGTAGGCAAAGCAACTTACACCAGTGCAAGAAAGTTCCTTGGAGAAACTCGAGCAGAGATGGAGCCTTATTTTGTCAACTGTAGTTCAGCATAAATTCAAGGCATACTAACAAAACCCACTATTTATATGTTTTGTTTATTTGTTTGTTTTTAACAACAAAAAAACCCACAAACACATGGCTTTAGTCGCTCTCTCTCACTTTCAACAAACATTTAATAGCACAGGCAGACAAAGCCAGAGGTGATTTATAAGATGCATCTTTCAGGAATGCCAAAAACCAGGAGGTTACTGTTGTAACACTTCAAAATAAATCAGTTAATACTTCTGTCTTACCTCATACTCTGTTCTTTCCAATAAATTGTTTTCATCCTTTTCTAACTTCTCAGCTGCCCATTTGCTTGCAGCTTCTGCGAGTTCCTTTTCTGACAGTCTGTTGCTCTTCTCCATAGCCTGAAAAAAAAACAAAACAAAACACATTACAGCGAAGGCTCCAACATGAAATATACTTCCATGTGCAAAGTCATCTTCTAAATTAAAATAAATAGTTATTCAGCTCCCCAAAGCATTTTGAAATGGCAAATAAGGAAGCTGAAAATGTTGTTTGTTGACTTGTTAAAAGAAAAACAGATAAATAAAAATCAGTGAATTCCAGGAAAATGTTAAAATGCACCATACTTTCAGAATCAACACTGTTGTTCTGTCATTTTTTTCAAATTCAGAGGACAAATAACCAAAAAATTATTTGACACCAGTTGAGTTCAAAGACAGTTGGATCAAATGGACACTACAGAAAAATCAGACAAGTATGGATTGATTTAGTAACACAATATAGCTTTTAGCCATGAAAGGTTGCAACAAATTAAAACTGAACTATTCAACTCTGTATATGGAACAAAACCTAGGCTAATTAGGAACAGAAAGTTCATGCATTTCAACTAAGTTTAATTCAGCTAAGTTAGCTGAATTAAAATTAATAATTTCGTACTTGGCTGAAATGATGATCACTAGTAACAGAATCATTCACAGGGAAATGGTCTTATAAATAGTATTCACAATATGATTTCTTTGAACATTATTTGTATATATATGTATTAGAGCAGACAAGATAATGGCAAATGTCCATGTATTAAAAGCAGTTTAGAAATAACTAATTTTAAAGATCTTGTTACCTCTATGTGAGAATTTTGTGCCACTGCCTCTGTAGAATCTATCCATCTATCCAAGAACTTATACAACTCTAGCATTAAGACCTGTCACAGATGGATATCAAAGAAAGATACAACTGCCCGAAAAACGTTGCCACAAGTTCCCAGTTGTTCCACTGGGAAGGAAAATGCACAACAAAACAACCCTCCCACACACACTTTATCATTTTTTCCAAATTACATAAATGGTCAGAGGAAGCACATACTCAGTAGTTCCTTAAAGGACTGTGTGTCATAAAGACACAGCATTTAACTAAATCCAGAAAATAAGTGGAATATAATGTTTATCTGAGCAGGAATCCCTCCTTATTATTCTGTAATTTAAAACAATAGAAATTAGCGAAGTCCAGAGGTTGCAAAGATTAAAAGAAGTCCAAAGTACAGATAAGGTACTATGAGGGTTCCTAAGAGAAATGGGCAATATAATTCCAAGAATAAATTAGCCCAGCTACCTTTCCAAACTACACAATTACTCATACACTTCCCCCACTACTAACTATCAGCAGCCAATTTTTTTCTCCTCTGCTCTTATTCCCCAAGGCACACACAACTTTTACCCACAACCTGGCTTTCCTAGCTGCCAGAAAATCTTGTATCACAAATTTCTCCTAGTCCCCAAAAGTAGCTCTGGCCAATACAACCAAAAAGAAAGGACCAATATCTCTGTCACCAATCGTTATCTTTGCATGAAATGAAGATAAATAAAGTCTCATATGACTTACAATATTCCACAAGCCATAAGCATCAACTAATTACTCTAGTACTTAATGTAGTAGAGGGGAAAAAAAAAAAACAAACAAAAAACCACCTGTTCAACTTATTCTGACTAAATTATTCAGACTGCATGGCAATAAAATACACATTAAAAATTCTGAATGCATTTTATGTATTAAGTAATAGGTTTTCCACAGATACACTACACTACAATATAAGAGAAAATTAAAAGAACAGGGTCACGTTTTTAGAGAAAAACATGAAGAGAAGCAAGAAGTTAACTGCTTAGTGGCAAACTTTTTTTGTACTCTAAGCAAAGGTGTCTTCACATTTTTTTTCTTGGGCATAATGTAAGAACAGCAAAAACCTGTCAGTTTTCTGCTATCTTTGCTGGGAAATCTTCCTTGTCTCACACATCTGCTCTTTGCTTTAATTATATTGCACACAACCTCCAAGGCTTGTAGTCCAGACACATATTAAACAAAAACACAAAAGATGTCATGCAGTAGTCAATTAAACAGGTGGTTAAGATCTGATAACACCAACCTGTATTAATTCACATGCATGAATATGCAAAAAAAAGAAATCATAAACGAGATTAAAAAAATACCTTTTCAGATTTGCATGTAGTTACTGAGCTGAAAAGAGATATTGCTATGGAAGCAATACAAGTATTTCATAGTTAAATTATTACTTAGAGCACTGAAAATTATCTCCTTTGATCTATAAAACAAAGCATATGACTGTGATTTCACAAGCCTGAATAGATTGCAAGACCCAGACCCTAGTGATGTTTATCATGTTTTGCCACAACTTTTTTGGTTGTTATTTCCAAGTTAGTGAAGAGCTATAACTTAACTGGTTAGTGGAATGCAGCCATCACCCCTAAGAGGCTCCACTGATAGAAAACAGTAAATTATTGATATATCTGGTGCTTGAAAGAGACAAGCAATATAACGTCACTGAAGCAATTCTGTTTCTGCAGCTGATGTACACCCAATAAATATTTGTGTTCTCTGAAAAGTTTCAAATGGAAACTTTTACTTTGTGTAGTTAATATCAAGTAGGTATAAGCCAAGCTCTGGCAAAAATAAAATCAATGCAGAACACATCAGGCCTGATAGGAGAGGAAAGCAATATGGTTAAATACCTATAGTTCAAGTTCACATTGCATCTATATACTGTAGCAAAAGATTTTGCAATATCTCATTGTTCTCTTTGTCCTATTAAGGACTTGATATTAAGCTGCAGCACATTAAGTCTGCAAGCAAAATAAGCGAACTAATTACAAAGTTGCTTTTATAATCCAAATCAGCGCAACTTCTGCCTAGTAGCTTTTATCTTACTTTCCTTATTTACATCACCGAAAATACAGTACTTACCTCCCCCCTTAAGGATAATGGCAATTAACTAGTGCCTAGCACAGCAATTCTAAAAGAGCTGTACATGGAATAAGTACTTAGAATGACATAACACAACCAAAGCTTGATTATTTTTTTTTACCCACTTAATTATTTCCTTCAGTCTCACTTTCTCACAAGAATACCTTTCTTTCTTTGTTGTTTTTTTCCTTTTTTGTTTGTTGTTTGTTTGTTTCCCCCCAAGCATTCCACTATTTTTATTACAAAGACTTCCAGAACTAGGCTACTACTGCTTAGGGAAATGCTACTTTTTAAGAGAACCTTACTCAGAATATATTGCAGTGTTTCTTTATTCTTCATTAAAGTAATTCTCAAAAAAAAAAGAAAAAATAAAAAAAAAAAAGGGGGAAAATATTCCAGTAGAAGTGTTGAATTTAACCTCAAGTATAATTTTCAAGCAAGCAGTCTGTGGTGTGAAAATGCTTTTATTGCCACAAGACAGCCAGCACAACACTGAATGCTGATTGTTCATTAGTGTTTATTAGTTTGTCTCTTTAATTAATTAGCAAGACTGTAGTTGGTGCTCAGACTACAAGTTTTTTTTTTATGGGAAATTAAACCACATTATTTAGAAGGTAAAAAGGAATTTACTAAGCTGCTTTGCAATGTGGCACTGCTCCCAGTGAAACACTATCATTCTTTTCACGTTCTCCAGCAGCCCTCTCCAAAGCCAAAGCTGCTTTTCACATGACCTTCCCCATTTGTCAGACACTTCAGCTCGCTTTTTCCAGATCCAGTCATAGATTAAGCATCACTCAAGGATGGAGTTCAGTTCAAGTACAGGTGTGTCTATTCATCTATTGTCCCTAAAAACTGCTTACTTAACTTTATCATGGAATCACCAAGGTTGGAAAAGACCTACAAGATTATCCAGTTCAACCATCCACCTATCACCAATATCTCCCCACTAAACCATGCATCTTAGCACAACATCTAAACATTTCTTGAACAAATATCCTTGCCATTCCTTTTCTAGCACACTCTGGACTTCAGATAATAACAATTTAAAGTCTGTGCAAAATGCCCTATCTCAAACAGGACAGTGACTACAGAATAAAGGACTATTTGTATCATCATCAGATATACAACATTAACAGCACCTTCCTGCTCAGTAAGGGAAAACCAGCTTCTGCTGGGTTGTAGAGCAACATAAGATACTCTGCCCTTAACAGCTGCATACAGTGTCTCCTTCCAGGTGATGCAAAACATACATATATCCAATAATGTGCAATCTGAAGCCACAGTGAGAAGTGCTTGAAAAGCAAAATTCACCTTTGATGTGGGTAGTGCTGTGGAGCCCGATGGTGATGCATCTCTTGATGTTTTCGACGACTGAACTGAAGTCCTCTCTTTACCTATAATTTTAAAAATATTAAGACTTGCAAAATTACAGTAAGCACATATCTTGCAAATATATTTATCGGCTTTAATATCTCGCAGGAAAACTGTAATGAAATTTGCTCAGCTCATGAAATCTACAGCCTCCACTATCTGATAAATCTTGGTAACATTCCTTTCTCTTTACAAAGAGAGATAGTTATTATACATGGCATATTTAGGAAAACTCCACTGCTCAGTATTTAACTGAAGAGCATGTCAATATGACTTGGTGAGATGATGTGGTTTTACTCTCTAATGTTCCTGTTATAAACTTAACATTAACAGGTGAAATTAAAAATTCCTTTATTTCTATTAGCCATCAATCCAACACTCCAAAAAAACAGACAGTGTAGGAACTAGTTCAGCAGGTCGCAGTATGTTGGAAAGTTTTGCAGGGGGAAAGTCTTACATTCCACGAACCACAGGTTAGATTCTCTTTGTATTATCAGGGATTTTCTTGTAAGCATTCAAATCAGCCAAACAATAATTCAAATTCACTGGCTAATCACAGTCCATGCACAGCCTTGCCAAAGACTGGCTCCTGGAGCCTGCAGCAGCAGAACCAGTTGCAGTGCACATTGCTAGCTCTCAATCTGTGGTCTATGAATTACATCTAAGCGATCTGCAAAAAGTAATTATGAAAAACACAGTGGTTGTCAGTAAGCCTACATTTACCAAACTATTCACGTTCACTGGAAATTACTTGACTATTCACAAAAGGAAAATAAAGCAGACTTATCTGGGCTTCAATTAAGCTTGTATCAGCTCACTTAAGAAAGGGATGAATTAAAAACAAGTCTACCAAGCACTTATAGAAATCTGGATACAAATTATTTCAGGATAATTTTTTGGAAAACCAACATGGTTTTAAATTAATGAGACCAAGCTTAATGCAAAATCTCAATCCTAACAGCCACGCTACTTTTACTCAATGCTATAAAATAAGACTACTTAAGTGCTGTGCATTTTCAAATGCAACTACCTATAAAAACAGAAGGAAAATTCTATGCAAAGTGCATACTTTTCACAATAGGAAATGTTTAGGAAAGGTTTGAGAAGCTGGTCTTCTATTGTTTGCCACATTTTCATACCAAGTATGTAGTATGGAGAGTTAACACAAAGCAAAGATCAAACTGTCTCTCAGAGACAAGTGAGTTACAAGTACAATGATGAAGACCTACTAATGCAAAAATCTTCACAGCTACTGATAGCTCTTTCTAAAACATTACTGAAAATAGCTAGAGAAATTACTTTGACAAAATAAACGTTTTAAACCTCACTTGATTCCTTGATTTTAAAACATTGCTAAATGGAAAACGCGTAAAAACAAAACAAGCAGCCATACAAGCAGAAGATGAACTACAAATTACCTTTAATCATGAAACATTAAATTATGAAAAGAACAATGAAAGCAAAAGCCATGAAAAAAAGCTCCTATAAATGCAACACGTGTGACAAATCTAAAAAATGAAGATAAAATTGACATCTTCAATCTGCCACACTCCATAAAGCAGTGTCTCTCTGACATCACCAAGTAACACAGAAGTTTTGCTCCTTTGATACCTGCTCTTCAGCCTCATGACAAGCCACCACCTTTAAAAAAAAAAATACACTAAGTATTTTAACTCTGCCTTCTACAAACCTCCTTAATCACAATGGAGTCCTTAAAGATTACCTGAGTTGAGTAGTGTGTGGGAACTGCTGAGTCACGGCCTGAACCTCTGATTGATCACCTGAGGTGAGCCATGAGTCAGCCAGAGGAGCACAGCTGAAGGCAATTCACCTGTGCTGCTGGAAGGGGTGGAGCCAGGCTGCACCTCTCCTAGACCTATTGAAGAGCTGGCTACCAGAGGGGAAGGATCTCTTCTGGAGATCTGCTGTGATGGAGTTTTGTAAGCGAGCCCAGGATATGGATAAGTTTTCTATCCTCTTTTTGTTACCATAATCTGCTTTGCCTAACTCTCTTGTTTATTTTGAAATTATAACATCTTAATATTCATTGATTGTACAAGTAGATTGTAAGTTTGTGGTTGAACAGGTTGAATTATCTGAGGGTGGCAGTAAATTATTCAAAATTAAGAAGGGAGAAACTGAATTTGAAGATCTTGGTAAGAGGCCCATCATTCTGAACGTGTAACTATTCAGAACCCACAAATCCTAACTGTACAATTATCTAATGTAACTACAAAACTGAATATGCTACTTGCATTCTTGCATTTCCTTGGCACACCACGCTACAGATCCCTGAGTGGACTGGCCTGGCCAAGGAATACCATCCTACTCCCTACATGCTCACACAGCTTCACTATATGCCTTGCCATACGCCCTTTCTGTCCCTTTGTTCTAAGCTTCCCTCTTTCCCTAGTTTTGGTTGCTAGAATCTTGCATTTGGCCCGGGTTTTGAAGAGCTGGATGGCATGGGATATTCTTCCTGCAAGGAAGACCTCAGGCCAAACTGATTCAGACAGCATGATTGTAAGCAGCATTACAAAATTTAAAAGGATACATAACATGTTGGAAAAAAAACCATTGAACTTCAGACTAAAACTCACTGCTGACACGCACAACAGGCCCCATTTTATGTCCCTTTTAAATATGTAATACATGATTTTACCTAAGACAAATAATATTCAAACAGTATTCTCAAAGTTTTATTTAAGCCATTTATGCCTCACAAATGGACCAGTTTAATTCAGTCATCCATAGAACAGCTCAAAAGTACTATTTTGGGAGGAACAAGCAGTTTATTAACAAACAGTCCAGTGTAAAAGCCATCTGGTCTCTTCAAACTGATTTTAAAAAAAAATGGGAGAAAGGTGTTTAACCATGGAATTGAAAATAAATCTCCAAAGCCACAGACCTAAATATAACCATGTCTCCTGACTGGTGTCTATTCTAGTTTCTGAAGATGTCTGCTTCAAATTCGCCACCCTCACTGCTGTTTGAGTAATTTTGCCAATACATTACAAATGTGATAGAAGTCAGCTCAAAATCCCATAGACATTCCAAAGCTTTATATTGTTTTCACAAGCTTTTTTTTCCTGTTCCTACAGACTGTGATCTACACATCTACAACTCTCCTGCAAGTATAATTACCATATTCTTCCCTTCCTCTCCTCTACTCACAGGAATCTGTATTCACTGAGTATTGCTCCTCAATGTTTAAATACCTACATTTACCAGTTAGAAAGGCAATTTGTATTCTACTACTGACTAAAATAATTCCTCACTATTTAAACAATGTAAACTGAACTCCACAAGAACATTTTTGGCAAGTGGTGCTACATCAGTCTAGTGTGCCACATATTGATGAAATAAAAAATCCAATTAATTTTAAAAAATACTGCCAAAATGGACAGTAGGTTTGTACAGCCCCCTGGAAAACATCTGCAAAACGGAAACTCAACTGTGATTGATTTACATAAGCTAAACAAATAGCAGTAGTTGAGGTTGTAGCACACTAAAAAAAAGCATTACAAATTATTTTAAAATATTTCAGGTTTTCATGTTTAAACAGATAAATCATTACATTATTCATGAAGCTTTCAAAAGCTGAGCTTTTAAAAATCGGGACATATACTGTTTATTCTCAACTGAGATTTGAGAGAATCTGGCATTGAGATGAAATTGCTGCCAAAAAAAAAAAAAAGCCCAACAACCAGCATCAAAGCCCTAATAACACAGTTGAAAGAACGTTTTCAGAGAAATAAACAAGTAACAGCATGCACCTTAATTTCCCCAAATGTTTTAATCCCCCTTTTTCTCTGGTTGCAGGAATAAAAGCCTTCATCTGTTATAAGATGACTGCCAAATTTCTTCTAAAGGAATCCAGTGAACGGCTAAGCAAGCAACAGAAGCATTTGATGCTAAAAGGAAAATAAATACTGGGAAAAATCTGCAGCAGAGCACTGTCATCAGCCTAGAGCTGCCATCAAAAAAACACCTACTGTCTCCCATGTGAAATACACAGGGGAGCGAAGTGTACAGTGCAACAGCCAAAGAGCAGACAACACGTAACCTGTCTAGTTTTCTCATTGTAAAAGAGAATATGTAGAGATAGAGGTCTTATAAGGAGTCGCAGTTTCATCTCTCTAACCAGTTCTCATTAATCCAGCATTACCTTGCTGAGAAGAAATATTTCTTTTATGTAAAGATGACATACTTCTGCTATGCTGGGACTGGTGGAAAGGATAGGCTTTGCTTCTTTCAGGAGAGTAGCTTCTGCTGCTCACACTAGAGCCAGATCTGCTGTGCGGAGAATCCCTTCGGCTCACTGGTGATTCCCTGAAGAAAGGAGAGTCTCTCTTATGAGGGGATCGCTCTCTCATATAATGAGAGGGATGGAAGCTTTTTCTCCTGAAGCCATCTCTGACCTTCCTTTGAAGACAACAAAAAAAGTAAAAATTACTTTGTTACCCTTCTACTGTTTACCTGGTAAACTGTATTACCCAGGTAATACAGGGGCAATATTTTATGTCTGATAAATACAGTAAGTTGCAATGAATACAGAGCAAGCAGAAACAGTTGGGGAAAGATTTCATTCAATTACTTCATAGCTAGAAGCTAACTTCCATTCTCTTACTTTCTAATTCATCTAAAATAGAAGATAAAGAGACACTGGAGAAATTGAGACTCACATTTTATTTTCTTCAGATTCATTCCACTCTAGCTTACCTGGAAACAAAGTCCTATTAGCACAACAGGTGAAATGCATTCCCAAATATTGCTCACACTATTTCAATGTATTTTCATTTATCTTACCCTTATTTTTATGGGACTATCTTTCACAGACCTTACTCTGGGAAATATTATTGAGAGATTTCAGATCCATTTCAGATTTATATCCAGCAAGGACAAAGAAAACTGTAGAACATCTCACCTCATGCTTATGTACTCACTCAGAGCCAAACCCTGGATGAAAAATATTTATATTTATTCCTACTAAAATTCTGCCCATTCAATGCAAAATATTTACACTTAATGCTTCTGTAAAATACCACCAGCACATTCAGCATAACATGAAACTGATATGATCTGAATCTATAATGAAGTAAGCATAAAAAATTCTTATTGAATGTATCTATTTTTGCCCCAGATCGTAACCAAAACATACTGGTTACCTGCTCATTATGTTTATGTGTTATTTATGTAAATACATATATATTTATGTAAAAAAATATATATAATATACATGTAATAAAAAAATATCAAATTGAACTTCCTTTACTGAATCTTGAATTTAAACATGCAAGCAAACATTTACTGAATCTAGAGCTGTGACATTTGCTTCAGTCAGAAGGCATCTAGTGAAGAGAAACAAGTACCTCTCAGCTCCTCTGACAATCACAGTATTGCTAAATGACAATAAAGGCTTCGTATAATACAGAGGAAGCCAGAATGCACCTTTCTCAATGCTTTTCTCTCCCATTTCTAATTGTAGTCCACTATTTTAAATAGGAGAATGTCTCACAAAGACAAGTAAAGACCTGGTGGTCTCATTTAGCACAGTGCAGTTATAGCTAATTTTATGCTGGTGAAGAAAAGGAAAAAAGCCCTCTAGCGTACAATTCCTACAGTGTGTAACAGACACATATTTGTGGTGGCTAACAAAGGACTTCAGTGTGCCAAAGCTGTTTTGGACTACTGAAACAACACAGGTAGCACTGAAGTAATAATGCAAGCCCTTAGGGCCACTTACACAAACACGTTTTATACAGTGCTGATTTACTTTTTGCATGGAAAGTACATCTACATGAGTGCCTCTGCATTGTAACACAAATCTCATGTGCAACACTGAAGTTATTCTACAACAGAAAAATGATTTGGGGGGTGGGGGCAGAAAAGGGGAAAGGATGCCTTCACCTAGCCTAGACAAATACAGACAGCTACTGAAGAATGAGCAGATCAATAGCTGTTAGCCACACTGTTTTTCAGTAAAACACCAGTGAAGCAAAGGGAGGTGTTACAGACAAATAATTATTTCATCATTAATAGATTACAGACCTTTCACAGGTATCTTATCTTAGAATATTTAACAGGTCTATATGCCAAAACCATATACCAAAACCAGAAAATGTTACAAAGATTTCTATCTAACAGGTGTGCTAAAAAGCAATTTTCATTTCCTTTCTGAACTTTCTTTTCTTCTGTTTATTGGGATACATTCTTCCTTCGAATTCGGCCATCAAAAGAACCAAAGAATTAGTAAATTGTGTTCTAACAGTCCTCTAACAATGCATACAGTATACATATACAGTATGTATATGTACTATATAGTCTGTATATGTACTGTATACTGCTTAGCTATACCTATAGAGTAGCCACAGCATAAATATTTACACCAGCAAATAAAACACCTCAGAATATACAAAAGCGTAATCTTCCTTCTCTCCTCAAAGGCCTAAGAGCAATGTGCCCACCTCTGGACACCACTCTCTAGGAAATGCATAGAGTAACTGGAGAATTCCCAATAGGAAATAACTGAAATAACACAGTTAATGAAGAAACACAAAGACATTTGTCTTAAATTTAGGAGAAAGAAATTAAATTCAGAAGAGTTCTCAGTTCTGTGAGATTCAGCTGAAAATAGGAAGCGCAGCTTCATCTGCATTGAATGTAAGAACAGTTCAAGCAGCAATAGATCTAAACTGGAGAAAGAGGAAAAAATACATTATTAGTTCAGACTTCAGGAATATTGAAAACATTAGCTCAGCACTGACAAGTCTATACCAGCAAGTCTCCATAAACATTTGATCAATATGTTCTCTAATGAATAAATAAATATATATATGTATATATATGCACTTATCAGGAACTGTTTATGTACAGCACACTTTCTAATGTCCTTCCAATAATCTATCTCAGAACTGGAAAAAAATTGGTACTTTATTGACTAAATCATCATTTTCAATGATTTTAAATACACACAGACTGTAAGAAACCATTTCAGCTCTTAGAGGTGCAGTGCAAGACAAAGAGGAATTAATCTCAAACAGATGTAATTCAGTTAGGTGCACAACATTACAAAATGCTGCCTTCTGTCAACAGCTGGCCAACACAACTAAAATGTTTTTCTCAATGTTTAAATGAACTATATGGGAAAAAGCCTATTAGGTAAATTCTGAGATTTTAGATGTTTTTTGCATTTGAACATTTCTGTAACATACAGAAAGTCTTTGATTTTGTTCATTATTAAAAGCATGAGCTTTCTGGCAGACTGGTACGCCACTTTTATGCCCAAAGCACATTTTTTATGAGCAAGACATTAAGTTCTAGTATATATGCAAGTTTATTATGGAAACGTTTACAGAGCCCTTGCTTTTGCATACATAAACACTCTAACATCCACATCAGAATTTACAAAATATCATTGAAGCATACTTTTAAAAGGGAAAATGTTTTAAAACCTCGTTCTACAGTAATATCATGCACAAAAAAAAAACAGAGAAACAAACAGATTTTGTGTTTATTTATATTTTCATGTCATCATTCCTATGTTAATTCTTTACTGGACACAATCTCATACCTGAGCACGCAAGCTATTAACGATATTAAACCTGTTTTGGACAGCATAGCAGCAGCACAGCATTTGTGATGTTTACCATTAACGTAACAAACCACACTGATCAGAACAAAATAAGCATTGTTTTAGGGTTTTTTTCTTAAATACTTAAACTAACATACACCTGCAATTTGGTAATGAAGGCCCCAATTCAGCAAAGCAGCTGAGAACATGCTTCGGATTCCAACACATACTCAAAAGGTTTATTGAGAAGGGACGATATTTAACAGAAATTAAAAATTTTTGCTCACTTCCAACTTCAAAACAGAACTGTTTTCTTTAATAAATACAGGACTCATCCCTATTATACAGGATTCCTCTTATCTCTATACCTCACACTGACATCTCATACCTCGCCCTGAAAGCATGGTAAGTTCTCTTAGCAGTACCGCAGTCAAAACTATTAACATTTTTAACACCTACAAACCGTGACTGTTTAATTCTCACTGAAGCTGATCCCCTTGGAAGAGCTGCTGAAGTGTTACAGACAAGCAGCCATACGCACCCATTCACCTGGAGCAGCTGAGGGAAGAGCGTGGCTCTGGCAGTTATTTCCATTAATCGTCAGATCCAGCTTCCCGCCCTGGTAAAGATGCGCCTGTCTGTGCACCAGGAGACCAAGGGAACACAATGCAGAGGAGCCTTTCACTTCACCAACTTTGCTAGGCTACCACAAAGATTTTCTAGGCTCCTCTTTCCCAGCCAGCTCAAGTATTAATCAATGTGCAACGTAGCCCAGCCACAGAGGACATCTAACACTTGTGACACCACTCTAGAAAAGACTGGAATCTCAACAGTGCATTGCTGTGGGGCAGAAACTCAATCTTTCAGTCACACAGGGGCCAATGTGGTCTATCACTTAGAAGTCAGATGAAAAGTCAACGTGGGCCATCTCATCTCATCAACAAAGATTATTGCTATTGTCAAAAGAGTTAAACGTTCCATTTATAGGCCTAAAAAAAAAAAAAAACCAAAACCTCACATAATTTTATAAATAAATGGAGGAAATGATACACATCTCTTAAGATATGGGATTTCTGTGCAAAGAGATGAAGCAGACAAGACTTAAAACGTGCTAAACTACACACTTTTTCTGTTTCAAAATACACTGTGAGGAAAGGGACAGAGAAAGAAACAAGGAACATTCTGCCTTCCCTGTGAGGAGAACGCGGGGCTACGAGAGCCACCAACGCAATTCACCTGACATGGAAAACATTTAATGAATATACTACACTACATCCCAAACCTCTAAATTTCTCACAATTTGGCTCATGTCTACCATCTGAAAAGCAAACATGAGGAGTTAAGAACACCTCTAACGTTCTCCAAGCAAATTTAGCCAGTAGAAGATTCCAGAGACCCTCCTCTCCCCCAGAACACATTCCCTTTCTTTCAAAGTATGCAGCACGCATTTGTGGAGCAAACCCTTTACTTCAGCTCTGCTTCAGAGAGACTTATAATACCTTGGTTTTGTCCAAAGATCTTTATGATGATTTATCCCAGCATTAAACAATAAATTACACAACTGCAGATATACATAATTGCATCTTCAACAAACTTCATTTGAAAATCTGAAATGTTTTCTGACAACTGGTTTCAAATGTTTTAGGGCCAAGAAAATAACTGCAGTCTTTGCAAATTCTATGTGTATTCACTTTAAATGAAATTAGCATAATTTGGTCTAGTCATTGTAATCTTGTTAACAGCCTTTTGTACAAAAATGCAGAAGGAAACAGGGAGCCTCAATGAAAGGGACAGCTAGACATACAACATGCATACCAAAAATTTAAAAATACAGAAGTGCTTCACAATTTTT